CATAAAAAAGGAAATTTACTTTTGCTACTTAAGTACTTATAAAAGCAAGTACTTCTGTACTTTTACTTAAGTAAAAATCTGTCTTTACAACTTTTACTTGTAATGGAGTAATATTTGACCAGCAGTATCTGTACTTTCACTCAAGTAATGGAGTTGAGTACTTTGTCCGCCTCTGCTTGCACGTGTTGCTCTGCCTTGACAACGATTTACGAATGATAACCTAGGCCTACATGTTGATTATGTCAAACAATAAAGTCCATATCATTGTAAGAGCAATTAAATTTTTTTTTCTTTTTTATTGTTATATTTTTTATTTGATTTAATTTTTTTTAATAATATGTTGAGTTTTTAACATGTGTCTTACAACTACATGAGCTTGGTTTTGTAACATTTAAACTCCTCATTGTGAATAATTATAGGTTATTTTGGTCATAAAAAGTAAACATTAATAAAATAAATCAAGCCACAATGTGTCACATTTGTTACATTGTGAGATTTTTATTTTGCCGCCTGTCAGTCAAAACACTTGTGAACCGCACGGAAGCTTCATTTAGCCGTTGTCCCGTGACATGGGTGTTTTGAATCACATTTTGTAGCAGTAGGCTTGTTTGAGATGAGCAAAATCTGCGCAGAACCGATCACTGGTGATCACCGCGAGATGCATGCCGGTTAGAAAAGTGTCCGAGTTATGTCCGACTTGCTCTGATGTCATGCTGACGTGTGCCAAAAAACTCTCGCGAGGGCGAGGCGGCTGTGTCGGATTGTGCAGTCGAGCGCAGTTGCTCTCCACCGACTGCGCTGATCAAAAGCATGATGGGAAACGACTGGCTGACGACACGCGTAATGTTAGCTCATTGGTTCAGACAACCATGATGTTGCGTTCTCTTCTAAAATGTTTTATTTTTTATCTGATTTCATGTGATTATGCGTTTAAATTATGCATGAATATTCCCAAACACGATGACAGTGCGATCTCTGTGTGAGATATGTGATTGTTGTCATATTTCTATAAAAATCTAAAATACATGTTTGTATTAAAGTAAAAATGGATGATAAATACACCTTTCATATGGAATTAGCCTTTTGTATGGAATTAAATAGCAAGCACTTTGAGTGTCTTGTTCATCATTTATTTTCATATAAAGTAACAGAACTGAAATTATATCTGTCTTTGATCTCGTAGGTATCTGTTCCACTTCGAGAGGTCAGAACTGTCCGTCTTGACTGCGCTTATTTCACTCCTCCCCTCACTGCAGCCGCCTACTCTCGCCTTCATTTCAGGCGAGGCGCATCTCAAACAAGCCTAGTGTTTCGAAACTTCTACGCTTCAGGATCTCGTCACTGCGTCGAAATGTGAGGGGAACTGACTGTCTTTAGAAAAGTTTAGATGGTGTTTTTTTTCGTCTTGCCTCCCAATAATGCATAATAAAGTAGTATTTATTAGCGCAGCGCTGCTTTGTTTACAATCAAGGAAACGCTGAATCGCTGCTGTTCCATAAGCACCACCTGCTGTCAGAGTGAATTTGCATTCTCGTGCAGCCTGTCTGCTGTTTTTGTTTTGTGTAGTTATGTTTTATATAGCATAATTTCACAAAGCTAAGGTCAGAAGAGTCTGTTTTTGCTTTAAATTGTGAAATTTTACAATCTAATTTAAATCAAATCTGCTAATGCTACATGTAGCATCTTTTTTTGGATAGTGATTCAAATGCAGTGGTTCTAAATCTGTTTCATGCATTCTGATTCATATAAAGGCACAGTCAGGGAAACCAAAACAAAAACCGTGACACAGATTTTTGGTCAAACCGCCCAGCACTATAAAAAAAATAATATTCCTTGTAAAATTAAGATTTTAGACATTTAGGGATATTTCACCCAAAAATAAAAATTATGTTAACATTTACTGACCCTCATGTCATTCCAAATCTGTATGAATTTCTTTTTATGTGGAACTCAAAAGAAGATCCAGAGAGATCCAGATGTGGTTTTGGACCTCAGTGATTTTCATTGTATCGATAAAAAAGCTGAAACCATCTTCAAAATATCTTCTTTTAAGAAAGTACAGGTTTGGAAAAAACATCAGGGTGAGTAAATGAAAGAATTTTCATTTTTGGGTGAAGTATCCCTTTAACCGTGTTATTAAATCATAAATTTAAGCGAGTGCTAGATGATCCTGAAAGTAAAAAATAAAAAGAATGCACAATTAAATATCCATAATAAGCCAATATCTACCAATAGCAATAAAAAAATCCCATATTTTGTGCATCCCAAACTATAACCAGTATTACACATGGTTAGACCTCTCCCTGAAGTCATACTTCTAAGTAGGAATTATTAGTAATCATTATCTATAATTTTTTTTACATTGCAAAACTGGCATGTGAGGATTCAGACATGTAGCATTATTCAATTTTTGACTATAAGCACAGTGACATAAAGCAGAGTTATAATCTTTGCAGAGTGGCTTGGTGATCATAAACTCGTGGTGTAACTGTATATCTGTCATTCAGGCTCTTCTGAAGATGGACTGTCAGGGCCTGGTGGCACGGCTGGTCATGGACTTTGTGCTGTTGACTACAGCGGTGGAGGTGGCGGGTCGCTGGAGGGAGCTTGCTGAGAGACTCGCTACAGTGTCCCGGCAGCAGATGGAAGCATATGAAGCTCCACACAGAGACAGCAGGGGACAACTGGATAGTGAGGTAAAACAAACACTGAAAGCATGATTAAGCATTATTAAACTATTAAGGAAATAGTTCACCGAAAACCTGAATTTTTTGTCATCATTTACTCACCCTCATCAGGGGTGGACCTTCGTGTTTTTTTTTCTTCACGTCTCTGTACAAATCACATATTCAAATTCACATGAAAATACTTAAGCCACCTTGTAAAATACTAATGTTTTCTCATGATGTTTCTCGGGATGAAAAATAAGTGTCACGTCTGTTTACACATGTTTACACAGCGTTTAGTGCACACTGAAATGCTTATGACCTGGCTTAGATTGTAGAGCAGTGACAGTACAGACAACTGTGCAAACAAAACACAGAGTAGGTAAACATGAAGTTAAGCAAAATATAGACTATATAGATATAGAATGTTCAATCCTCTAAATTATAAAAATGGATAAAGAGCAATATCCAAGTGAAATGGGTGCGAGAGACAGTAACTGACACTTGTAAAATTTAAAACTGGGTTTTGAGCTCCAATTACAGGAAACCCACAAGTCATGTCTATAGTGTTTGTGTCCAGCTCAGAAGAGGAACCTAAATGTTCTACCAATGATTGATGAGATTATGAGCTTCCTCTTGCACTTACTGGGTTATGATATTTGTACACATTTACTCTGAAGGAGAGCATACAGATTGTGTATAAAGTCTTTTTAGGGAACAAAATTCAGGGCACCTAAATGTCATATTCATGCAGGTTTACATGTCAAACTCAAATGAATCTTTACTTTTTTTATTTTGTAAAGGCCATGTGGAAACCTGCCTTTGACTTCCTGGTCACATGGGCAGCCCAGGTCGGGGACAGTTACAGGGATGTGATTCAGGAACTTCACACTGGATTGGACAAAATGAAGAACCCCATCACCAAGCGCTGGAGGCACATCACAGGCTCCCTCATGCTTGTCAACTGTCTGGATCTCCTACGGAGCACTGCTTTCAGCCCCTGCTCTCAAGATGACTGTGCCATATAAAGACTGCCTACATCACCTGACTTTTACAAGACCCAGATACACCTGATTTCACCTGATTTAAAGCGCTTATATGTTTGCACAATAGATTTGTTAGCCGTGGTGTTGTTGCACAGTAAATTACTGAAAAGTGTATTGCTGATGTTTTAATACAAGCAGAGGTCTCCATCTCATGTAAAACTCTAATGTAAAATAAGATATGATTGTTCAGATTTTTTTTTTCATTGCATATCATCATGATTTTATACTTGTACATTTTGTACAAAAGATACACGTTTTTCACTAATAATGTAACAACCTTTCTCTTTTGTTTTAAGTTTTGTTTTGTGATGCCAATTACACTGTATGCTAAACTGCCTGTTTTACTTTGCTCTAAGTGTCTGTTGTTTATGTTGTTCAGATTTAAGCAGCCTAATGTTTTTATAAGTGAAAGTAAATGTTGGAATGAAAAGTAAAATGGAAAAATAAAACCTTATTGTCTTAATAAAGAGACACACCAGAATTATTATTAAGGAATGTATAATGATATCACTTTAGTTCACCTGTACATAAAACATAAAACTCAAATACTAAAGTAGGCTTATAACTAAAGCATCTCATCTTCAGCTTACAGAAATTAAAAGATTTACTCACCATTGGGACGCTGATGTCCCAGTGGCATTAATTTGTGCCAAATATACGAAGATTTCATTCCAGAACTTTAGTTACTAAAGATCAAAGTAAAAAAAAATTAAAGTCCATTTGATTGTGATGATAATTCCAAACAGCACATACGTGGTGTATAACAAGTCGTTTTATTATTTATTATTATTTGTTTGTTAGTTTGTTCTTCTTTTTGTTTTGTTTTATCCCCCAAAAAATGCACATTATGATCATAACATTTAATTTGTTGTTGCAAGTGATGGCCCATGTAAATCCAATGCAAATGTATCAGTTGGACACTTTGTTCATTCAAAGTTAAAATAAATAAATTTTTGAATTTATACATTTTAACTTTGAATTAAACATTTAAATGTAATAAATCATATATTTAAGTATTATGTGGAAACTAAATGTTAAAACTATACATTGTGGAAACTAAAAATGTTGTCATAAAGCTAACAGCTGTGCTGTTGTTTTTCTAGCCTACATGTCTCTGTATCCAATTTGCATTTGTAAGAGTTAATTTAACATTAGTTTAATGTTACACTGAGTGTAGATGTCATTGATACGTTGATAGGATGAATTTGTGTGACAAAACTGACTCCAATATAATATATTAATCTGGTCGCAGTCAAAGTGCAACACTGAACATTATTGTAAGTTAAGTTTGTTTTCTTGCTGTGCCCACTGAGAGTTTTACAAACCTACTTGCTATGTGCGAATTCCAGTCTTATCACTCCAGCATAATTTTTCTCACTGCTTGACAGGCTCTCCCAACAAAAATTATGACCAATGTAAACAGTCATCACTGTGGGTCTTACAAAAATATGCTTACATCTTACCCTACTCTAGACACAGGCATGCAGACGGCATATTTCACATCACAAGCCTTTCATCAGTGCCTGCCCTCTCTCACTCTCTGGGGGGATCCCTCGACTACTGACAAAAATCTGAAAGATGCAAGTGTGTGTGTACAATATAATGAACGTGCAGTCAACTATGAAGATTTTATACAGTTTTAACTGGTGTTCCAAAGATACAGTCAAGCAAGTGTGTGTTTATCAATGTGCCTGTGTTTGCTGTGATGCGCCATAAATAAACTGTGTTCTTTCTCGGGTCAGTGAGTGACCTTTTGAAAAAGCCAAAGACAAATGGCTTGCCTCAGTATATTGCTTCATTTTTCTTTCTCTCCATGTTAATGCTAAAAAATAATAGTGTTCTGAAATAGTCTATCAATTGTAAGATTTTAATTAGAGCAGTCGATGACTGAATGTTACATTCAGAGTCCTTTTTACTGCCTAAAAAAATAAATGGGAAACTAAATAAGGCCAATAATCGTTCCGAGTAATTTCTCCTTTAACATTTCCATCACATATCTACCACCTAGTGGACAAACAGTTAATATAAAGGACTAAGTTTTACTCAGTGTAAAGACAGTTCCTCTAAACATCCCAATATAAAAAATTTTTTGTCAGACTTAGCAAATGGTGATTGTATAATATCTATAAACCTCACATTAACGATTGTCATGATAAGACGTCCGTGAGTTTTTGATTAATATAGCTGAGTAAATTCTTGTAACTTTTCAGTCTATGATAGTTTACCTCAGTACTCCTTTTCTTAGTAGTAACAGCACTGATCATTGGTTTGGAATACTTAGGCGTATTGATTTGTCAAAAAAAGCTCACCTAAAGTACTTAAAATGACTTTTCCTATTATAGAAACAAGGATAGAGAACGAAATTGAGTATTATGGACACCAGGTGGCGATATATATATATATATATATATATATATATATATATATATATATACATATACACAAAGAGAGACAAAAAACGTTTTAAAACATTGAAAAAATCTTTAAGAGTTGGTTAACAAATTTTACTAGGGGCATCAAAGAGCAATTTAGCCTGCGCTCAACATGTTTCCAATTCAAAAACCTCATAATGTGCCCTAAAAGACATTGCATAATTCTAACACTTGCTTTCCACTTCTCCCTCTGTTCCCTCCTTCCATTTCCCTCATCTTCCTACACCTCCACCTCCTCTGAAGGCGCCAGTTGCCATGTGAACAGGTGCTGAGACCAAGAGAGGCTCCTTCACACAGGAGCATTTCTGCTAAGAGGACTAGGAGAACCCAACATGCTCACACAAATATCCATTTCATAACATGGATAGCCACAAAGTAAGTCAGAGACGACTGAAATTAAATGAGAAATATAATGTTTGAGAAAAGATTTTAGCCAGACGATTTACCAAACTGCCTAGGCCTACGCAGTTAATAGGCTTTTTTTTTAAGGATTTCAGATGAGGTGTGGAAATATTAGCAGCTTATTTAAATGATTTCAGGGAGGTGTGAAAATGCGTGTCTAAAATTGGCATTTTTTCCTAACGTGTTACAGGACAAATAGGTACAATCTCGTTGACGCACCCTAGTTTCTGAACGAATGCCTCCCATCTTCCACGAAAATTGGAGAACACTGTAACCTGTGCACAGACTGCTGAGGGGAGTTGTGTGGAAAGCCAATTTTACATTTAATCCGTTAAACTATACTACTATTTTACTAGAACTTATTTTATTAAAGCTAAGTTACTAGAACTTATTTTTATTACTTCAGTATAATTTTCAATATCACTATAGGCATAGCCCACTAGTAATTATTTCAAAACTATCCCCAGCTGGCATATGACCGACCTTCAATGTTGAAATACGGTTGAAATGTCAGTTGTTGTTTCAACGTTGAATGGTTGCTCAACTACACTAGTCAGCAAGGGTACAATGGGAACACATATTTAAGGAGCACATTCTTTTCACTACTCCCATAGTGTATGATTGTAGAAAATATATATGTTTTATTGAACATTGATGGAACAACACATTTTTGTGGGAAAATAAACCATAAAAGTTTTTGTTTGTTTGTTTGTTTAAAAATCTTATAAATGAATGAGGTGGCGAGGTTGCCCTTTTGCTCCATATTTGGGGTAAAAGGCTAACCAGCATGGGGCTAAAGGCAGTATTGATCAAAATACTTTAGCTAAAGTAGTACTTTAATACTTAATATTGTTTGTATTTTTGGTTATTTTGATAAATACTATAACTGACTTTGTTTAATAAGCACTGTCATTAAAATGTTCATTTTAAAAATACAAAAAAAAATAAAAACTCTTTGAAGGAAATCCCATATAGCTTTGCAGTAGTAACAATAAGTATTTTATTATATGATAATATATTTGTTTCACTATATGGTGAAGGTTTTTAAGGTGGACACACAAAACAAATATCTAATTATTAAGTAATAATTGGCCTTATTATTGAAAAATAAAAAGATAGCCAGGACTACTTACAACTTTTCGAAAAATAAGTACTGGTAACAAAAATGTATACTAGCTAGTTTAAGGAATACTTGGCTTGCCATAAGAGGGGTTTGTTTTTCAGTTTTCACATAAAATGCGGGCGGAGTTTCTCCAGTGTGAGGAGCAGCTGCTGCAGAGTCACCGCTGGCTTCCATTCATTACCATACACTCGCTTGTGTCCATCACCGCGTGAGTAAGCGCGCTCATGCCTAAAAGAGATTTCTGATCACATTCATTCATCGCTGATGTGGACGATCGCCTGGAGAGACTGAACGCCGAGCCGTCAGAAGGAATTTTCAGCAGTTTGTGATGGGAATGGTGATGTGAGCCGTTACTGCGGAGACTCTCGGCTCACAGAGGAGTGTTTACAGAGCAGATCTCACGCGCACTGCAATGATCGCTTCATCACATCCAGTCTGAATTTGGTCGAATCGCTGGTGCCGACGGGGTCTGCATTGGTTTTACCCCTACTAACGAGGAGATCAAAATGGGGAACAGTTTCTCCAACATATCTGCGTTTCAGTCCCTCCATATAGTGATGCTTGGCTTGGACTCCGCAGGGAAAACCACGGTCCTTTACAGACTGAAATTCAACGAGTTTGTCAACACTGTGCCTACAATAGGATTCAACACGGAAAAAATCAAGCTGAGTAACGGCACGGCCAAAGGAATAAGCTGTCATTTCTGGGACGTTGGTGGGCAGGAGAAACTCCGGCCCTTGTGGAAATCTTACAGTAGGTGCACGGATGGCATTGAGTATGTGGTGGACTCTGTAGACGTTGATCGACT